GTTTATTTAATGCCTGTCTTGGGCATTTAGCCTCCTAAACTGAGAAAATAAAGTGCTATTTGTTAATGGCAAAAGAAAGGGAATGGGGGATATTACTTTAAAGATAGTCTCCCCTCACCTATATCATATTATTTTTCCACTCATCAGCATAAAAGCCTGCTGATATTTATTCTTCCTTAAAAGGAAAAACAAAACAAATAAAACCTCTTCCCTCTACTTCTCTGGTCCACAGCTAACAATCCCCCAGACTGCACTCCTATCACGTCACTGAATTCCAGCAGAGGACAGCTACAGGAGGACTTATATTCTCTGTCTGCAGTCCCCCTCCTTCCCCCCAGCATCCCCTGCGCCCCCAGAGAGCCCCTCTGACATGGCTGGTGGAAATCACCAGTAGCTTTCACTTCGTGGAGCCCCCTGGCAGCCCAGTCTCCCACTGAGCTCACCAGCAGCAGCACCAGCACATCCCATCACCTGCTCCCCGCTCCGTCTTCCTTGCCTCCATTCCAAGAGGCCAAGCCTCCCGCACTGAGGTGCCTCTCGTTGCCTTTCCCTGGTGTCCTCTGCTGGGCACACCGGAGGACCCTGCTCCTCCTGCGATGATCGATGATCTGATCGCATATGCTTTCACAGGGCTTTAAAAGAGTCTTCATGGTCTACTTCCAAGTATGTAACATTTGAACACCAAATTAGTATATGCAAGTAGTATACACAAGTAACTAATATTTTCCCTTGAAGGAAAAGCAGGTCTTTCCATTTTAACAGATCCACAATTGAGCTCCTTGGCCTCCGGTCCCCAGACAGCACTTCCTGCAGTGGTTCGTATCTCAAGGAATGAAGACTACCTTCTTCTTTCTGCTTGGACTAGAGACTGTGGTGTCAGGTTGGAGCCTCTCTTTCTTAAACGCTGGCATCCAATCTCTCGGCGAAAGCTGTAGAATATGCCTTCAACCACATGGACAGCCCCGGCCTGGGCGGAGACACCACCATCATCTCTCACCTGAGTCAGTGAAGGTGCATCTTCTCCAGGTGTCAAGCACTGGTCCATTCTAGTCCATGCTCAACACAGAATGATCCTTTTAATTCCGGAATCACGTGAGGTCACTCCTCTACTCTAAAGTATGTAATAGCTCCTCGTTGCACTCAGGGAAAAATCATCCTAAGTGATTTTTTTTTTTTTGCTACCTTTTCCCTCTTACTCATTTTCTGACCAGGCTTTTCCACTAACGTTTTACTCTATTAATATTCTCCTGGCTCATTGGTTCCCAAAGAATGGTCCCCAGGCTAGCAGCATCAGTTCTACCTAGAAACTTCACAGAAATGAAAATGTTCGTGCCTCGTACCACACATCCTAAATTTAGAACTTTGAAGGAGGCCAAACAACATGTTTGTTAACAAGCCTTCCAAGCGATTATGATGCACACAGAAACAGAACCGATTCTCTCGACCGCTAGCTGCCTGTGTCACTTCCTCTCCTTCTCAGGACTGCTGACAGATTACCTTCGGAGTGACAGCTACTCTGAGCATCTGTTCAAAATTACACTTTGCAAGTGTCCACCAGTACTCCACCATCCCCTTACTCTGCCCTCCCTTTCCCAACATGTCTATCTTCTTCCAATCCAGTACAAAATTAGTATTTTATCATCTTTATTATAGGAATACAGGCTTTCCCAGGGTGGAAGCATTTCTTTCTTTCTGCCTCAATGATTGATGTATTTACTCTTGAAGATAAAACAAACCCAAACAAAAATGTCTCAAACAAAATCTGGCACAATATACTGGTGCCAGTTAACATGTCAAACAATTGTACCACCCAACGGTGCTCATCACAATATAGGCACTCCGTGAATAACCCTGAATTAATTGAGTGAATGGAAAAATGGAACTTAATTGATGTGGTCAATGAAAGTAACTACAGAAGCACAACATACCTAAGTAGCATGCAGAGAAATCTCTGCGAGCTGGGGTCGGGGATAGACGTCCATTTTTAACAAGTGTCACCTCGTTTCACTGGAAGTGACTCGGGGGAGAATGCATAGGAAGGGAGATTAAGGCTCCTGACGCTGGATGTGCTTTAAGGAACACAGGAACAATCTAGCATCCTGCATACTGTCCTCCTTCTCTTCCACCATCGCGAATCAGATAGAATTCAGGTTAGCGCTCAGATTTTAGGAAATCTTTCAGATTGTGGAGGCCTAAGAGTGTAAATGTTTCTGTGAGACTCGTACCTGACCCTGACCCTGGTGGCTGTGGCAGCGCACTCATTCCATTCCCACGCATTTCTAGGAAGCAGTTAAGGTTCCCTGAGTTCCTGGACATAACTCTCGGATGTGGCATCCATTTCCATGGTTCTTACATCCACTCGGGGATATTTGCAAGTGAGAAGCTCAGACGAGCCTTTTGTCTTTCAGTATATGCATTTGGAATGTGTCTTAAACAAAGCCCAAGTACCTTAGGAAAGCAGAAAAGGAACTGGGAAAACATTACCACTCCTTTTCTCTTTTTTTCAAAACCATACTGTGTACTAACCCCAGCACTGAATTCTTTTGCTTCAACTCCACAATACGCTTCCTAGTTAAATGATCTAAAGTGGACGGCTAGCCTGCAGCTGTCAACACAAAGGTAACATTACAAGGAGATGTGTAAACACACAGACATCTTTGCTAGATTGTCATTTCCATTACATATCCACTCTGAAGTTCCTAAGAACAATGCCAGGAGACATAAGACCAAATAAGCCAGGCTGATTTGCTGCCACTTTCACAAATTCAATACCACGTGCTTCTTTGTGAACATCGAATGTTTTATTGTCGTTACTTTGGTCTTGTCTGATGAAGTCCACCCTTCCCTTATGAAAAAGATCTTGCACTGCTTCATATGATATAATTTGACCAATGTGAGAAGTGTGACAATCAGTTTGGGAAGGAGTTGTTTAATAACAGAAACATGAAATCAACTCAGCCTTGGCAGGACATCCCCTAAGCTACATGTGTGCTGTCCTTCTAGTTGCACACACGATCCCCACCACACTGCAAGTGTGCACGTTCCCACCGACACCACGGACAAGGCTGGCAGAGAGACAATGCATAATCCACAACGGTCCCGTTGGATTCTGCTGTTCAGACTCACATAGATAACAAAAATAAACCAAAAGTATTCTCTCCTCCCTGCCCAATCCCATCCCTTGAAAAACTATCATGGAATAGATCTGGGGCAAGATCAGAATGACTCAACATGTACATTTATAGGCAAGTAGGATATAGACAGAAAGCAGCATACTACATGGCTTATAATCAGGAAAAGTGTATATCGGGGTTAAATGTTCCACCATACTTATTCAACTGGCATGTGGAAGAGTCTGAAAAGGCAGATGATACGAAAAGGACCTGACAACGGAAACGGAGAAGATTCAGGAAAACATGTGAGATTCCTTTGCTTGATGAAAGTGAAGAGGACTTGAAGCATGTGGTAGTTACATAATCTGGTTTCAATTTGAGACTTGAGAGGGTTAAGAGTGAAGGGGTGGAGTCTAGTCTGTCAGTCGGGTTATAGCCAATGAGGTCTCTGTGTGGGCATGACCTTCTCCTGAGAATTCTGGGAACTCCTGGACTTTCCTCCTTGGAGGCAGAAGGCACTTCTCTCTCTCGGTTCACTTCCTGAGAGACACTCTATTGACAAGACACATGGCACTATGCCTTGGGAGTTAGAGGAGCCACATGGATCTACCCTAATGCAACCAGACCTCTGGAGCCAGAGAAGCCACGTAGAGATCCCTGCCAGGGCTGAGATGCATACAACGCCACTGGATCTACAAGACCTCCAGTCCACTGGTCTGTTATCCTCCTGCATTTGGCATCATTGCATGTATTTTGTGAGTCTGAAGAGGACTTTATAGATTGGTACCAGACATATGGGCTAATATTGAACTTACGGACTTGATCTGGACTGGGTTGGCACTTGAATATAAACCTCTTTCCTATACAAATATGAGTGTCTATGAATTTGTTTCACTAGTCTACCCAGACTGACACAAAGCACTTATTGGTGGAAATCAAAGACTACAGCCTTCGGTATGGGGTTACACCTCAGCAGAAAGAAAACCAAAATCCTCATAACGAGGACAGTAAGCAGTATCATGTTAAACAGAGAACCAACTGATGTTGTCAAGGGCTTCACTTTAGTCTATAAAAGATCCTTCTGGAAGCATCACTGAATCAAACAACATGCCTCATTGGGCAAATCTGCGGCAAAAGACCACTTTTGAGTGTTAAAAGGCAAAAATATTATCTTGAGGATAAAGCTATGACTGAACCAAGTCTTTTCAATCACCTCCTATGTATGGGGATGCTGGACAAGGAATAAAGAAGACAAATAATAGATGCATTTGAATTATGGTGTTGGCAAGGAATATTAAATATATTATGGACTGCCAGAAGAACAAACAAATAAGACTTAGAAAAAGTACAGCCAGAATGCTCCTTAGAAGCGAGGATTGTAAGACTCTATCTTATGCAATTTGCTTGTGTTCTCAGTAAGAATCTCAAGTATAGGGTCATTGAAAAAGAGGAAGACACTCAGGGAGATGGATTTACTCAGTAGCTATGGCAATGGGCATGTAACACAGCAGTGACTGGGAGACTGGGGCAGGACCAGGCAATATTTCGTTTTGTGGTATCCAGCATCACCGTGAGTTGGAAACAGCTCCATGGTACAAATAAAAACAAAAATAGAAATTGTAGGATTTAAAAGAGCAAATCTTTAAAAAGAGGGAAACTGTAAAGTTTTATAAATGCAAAATAAAGAGATGAAAAAACTGAACTTGGAATTGTCCAGATCAGGGCCAGCCAACATGCTGACTGTAGAACAAAACAGGTCCTTTAGTAAAGGAAGGGGTGACGCTGGTCTCATTTCAATCTGTATAAACAGTGCAATCAAACAAAGTTCATTCTATTTAGGAAACATGTGAAGCTTACATATTCATCAATAAGAAATAGTTACCTTACCCGCATGAATGCTTGATGTGTTCTACAGCTAACTCCCGTGCTTGACACTCGTATGCTTCCTGTGACCCCATCAGAGGTTCCATTAGAAGAAAAGTAAAATCTCAGTGGAGACTCCGCCTTTCTGTTCACATCCAGACTCATGTTATAAAACAAGACTACAAAAATGTAAAGATAAATTCGATGAGTATAAAAATCTAGAAGCATTTATTTATTATTTTAAAATAGCAGTTATATAGATTACTGTCAATATCTACAAAGGTCTTCATTATGTAGCTTTTTATAAAATCAAATAAAACTTTGGCAAGTCAACAACAAACATACAAATAACACAATCATAAATTAAACAAGAGATTTGAATAAACATTTCACCAAAGAGGTCATTAAATGGCCAGTGAACACATAAAAAGATTCTCAAGGTTAATATCCGGTAGAGAGAAGTGATGCTAATCAAAATGTGAGCTAGCATCATACGAGGGGGTACCCCCCTGAAAAAACTTAATTTTTTCAAAGCTATGTATGTATTATTATTATTATTTTTACAAAACTAATGTATCACCTTCAAAGTACTTTCCATGATACTTGATACATTTGTCAATTCTGTGATTCCATTCTTGGAAACATTTTTCAAACTCATCTGTTTAGAAGGCTGACAGCACTTCCCTCCTTTTTTCTTCACCTCTTCTACATCAAATTGCTCTTTTTCATGTCCCTCTTCATTAGAGGAAACAAAAAGAAGCCACATTGAGCAAGGTCAGGTGAGTAAGGAGCATGGGATAAGAGAGGCATGCTGTTTTTTGCCAAAACTGACACACTGAGATGGCTGCATGAACTGGTGCATTGTCGTGGTGGCAAAACCAGTCCCCCATATGCCACAAATCAGGCCCTTTTTTCCCACACACTGTTATGCAATCTTTTCAGAATGTCTAAATTGAAAGCCTAATTAACAGTCTGACCTGGTGGAAGGAACTCTAAATGCACTATCCCCTTCACATTTAAAAAAAAAAAAAAAAAAAGAGCATCATCTTGATCTTTGATTTTATTTTACAAGCCTCTTTTGGGTGAGGTGACGATGACGTCTTCTACTGGCTGGATTGATGTTGACTTTCGGGGTGGTAAGAATAGCACCATGTCTGTCACCAGTAATGATCTTGGGGAAAAAGTCTGGGATGCTTTGGAGCTGATCTAGCAAACAGGCGTTTTTCCACTTGATGCTCCTTTTCTTAGTCGGTCAGAATCCAGGGCACAAATTTTGTTGCTACCCTTCTTATTCCCAAATCTTCTGTTAAAATTCACTGAGCCAAGCTCCAAGATAGTCCAGATAACTTCCCCATCTCTTCTGTGCTCCTTTACTGGTGTTCGAGCACAAGTGCATTAATTTTGTTGACATTTTCATCCATTTAGAATGTTAATGGGCATCTAGAACAAGGTTTGTCATCAATCAACATTAAACTTCTTTGGAAATAAGAAAAGCACTCACACACTTGAGTTTTTTCCATAGTGCTGTCCTTGTAAGTTGTGTTCAATATCACAACAGTTTCTGCAGCATTTTTCTTGAGCAGGAAACAAAATCTCACAACAGCACACTATTCTCTTAAATTGGACATCACAAAAACGAGGTTTGAGCAAAACTGCTTTTATAGAAAAATTCATTGTGACCAGAGAGAAGTTTCCCAGGCGATGCCACTGGGTGTACTACCTCAGAGCGAGTTGCTTGATGCTTGTCTAGCAGGAAAAATGCATACCACAAAAGCTCCACCCAGCAGACCTTTTTCTGCTTTTT